TTCTGCTATGTCTAAAGTGAGACCTGTGCTTCCTCTAACATGGCAGTTGTGGGTCAAGGCAGCCCCAAGTTTAGAACTTACTGAGCCCAATCCCAAGCTGGCTAAGGAAACTGTGGACAGGATTCTGGGACCAGTCACTGCATTTTTCTAGTGCCCACTCCACCTCCTCTCTCCATTACTATGTGGCTCAGCCATCCTAACTAGGACAGAGTGCCTGCCCTGAGCTCTGTGCTCTCTATAGCAAATGCACAGAAGGACCCATCTCTGCTCACAAGACTGCGGCCCCTCTGCCCATCAGCACAACTGGTAGAGGCCGTGCACCTGCACCCTCCCTGCCCAGCACCTTGGTTTCTAAATGCTACCCCTCCCCCTGGCTTTTTCTTCCCATCCTCTGCTTGCCCAGGTCCTACCTTTCAGACATCCTTCTTCTTCTGAGGAAGACTTCTTCGTTTTAGCTTAGGCCTGCCCAGACACAAGGACCTCTTGATGAAGGTTCCCTCACACATCTACTAAGCTCTTGTTCTGTCTATGACTAGGGATAAATCCTGAGACTCTGAGGACGATGGCCTTTCTACTTCTCATGCTTGAGCACCCTCATCACATAGAGCATCTCCAGGAAGCCTCGCCCATCAGTTCCTACATGGAACACCCATGTCTTACTCTGTGATCTCTTTGACACACAGGCCTATGAATTGTGCACTTTTCTGTAAGTCTGTCATACTTCAGTTTAAAGGATGCAAACATACATGGGGGGTGGCGGGCAATGGTTGAATATGGTGCACAGAGCAATGCCTTTTGAAGTTTGCCAACAAGAGATCAAGAACTGGAATGCCCCGGCACCCACAGCTCCTTCCTGTGCTTAGCTGCACAGGGCCTACTGTTCTGTCCTCTATGGCGTGGGTCCCTGGGTATGGAAGGGTTCTGTCCCACGTCCTCTAGATTCTCCTCTTCAGATTGTCCTGCTCCAGTCCCCGGAGACTTTCTAATGTTTACCCACCTCCTCATTGCTCCCTCTGGTGCTTAAGGATTAGCTCTGTCTTGGCCCATGTTTTCACCCAGACCTCTCTCCTGAATCCCAAAGCGTGCATCCAATCTGCCTGCTCTGTGCCTCTCTTCCATGCCAACACGTTTGCTGAAGACAAGACAAGCCCCCACCCTCTCGTATACATGTCTGCCTTTCTGCTGCATAATGTTCCATCTCCAGGGCTTCCATCCCTCTCTATTCACGACATAATGTAAATCCATAGGTCATTCTTCCAAAAGACATTCCAGTCTCTCTACTTATAAAGTCCCTGGTAGCAGGAGTGTTCCAACCCCACTGGCTTTCTTCTGGATTATGGTGACAACTGATAGTACCTTTAACTTGGGGGTTCGCTGCCTGCTGCCTTCTGCTATAACATCATATAGCTCCTCAAGCCCAAATCAGAGCCCAGTGCATTTTAACAGATAAAGGTCCTTGGGTTTACCTACACACCTTTACCTCTTCTGTTCTAGTCTCCAACTCTTATACCCAGTGCTCTCCTGGCTTCAATCATGCCAGGTTAGTCTTCATGTGTGCCAGGCTAGTTCCTATCACAGAGCCATTGTACTGGTTGTCTCTGCTAGGAAGACTTTTTCTCAAGAGCACCTCTTGGCTCAGGCCTATGGCTTTGTCATGAAATGTTACCGTCTTGGCAGCCTCTTCTGTGATCGCTCCTTAAAATTTTATCTCTCATATCCATTTGCAATGCTATCTTTCTCTTGCATACTCCTCTGATTTTATTCTTGTTTTTACACTGCCTGACTTCACTGGAATGCCAAGTCTATGAGTGGGGAGTTTGACTTCTCTTATTTACCGCAATACCCCAGGCACCCGCATCAGGGCTGGCACATTCTGTGTGTTCAATAAACAGAGGCTCATGGGTAATTTTAAGGAGATGCTGGCCAGCTCTGTAGGACCCCTGTTCCCCCAGAAGAAGGTTCCCTTTCCCCCTCCTTTTCCTGGTTCCTTTTGCTGGCACTATTCATAAAATTCCTAATCTGGTCCTAAGTACCCATCTCCCATTTAATTATTGCTGTAATACTGCAGTTAGTAAAGGAAAGAAGCATTTCATGAAATGAAATGAAATCAAGACATAATAAATGTCTCAAAGAGAAGACTCTGCTAGTCACCTCACACATGCAACCCCAGGGCCTGTGGTGTGGATCCAGATCCAAGGCCCTTGGGGAGTGTGTCCAGCTGCAGTTTCAGGTCACCATCTGTTCCAAGGGACAGAGTGCAGGGCCACAAAGTCAAACATGGCCACATTTCCCCTGGGATCCCTGTGCCACACATTCTTTAAGTGGGATGTGGAGGCGGAGGATTGAGGAGGGAGTCCTGTGCTCTTAGATGTGTTTTGCACACAGATAAAGGAGTTCTGCTGCAGCAGATTCAGTTTTAATGGATGGAAGTGCTGACGTTCTGCCTTGTGCGCCCCATACTCGCTACCTTTATGAGATCTAGAAGTCGTTTTCATCCTTGAAACTTTTTTTCCATTTCAAAGGAGATTTTAGTTTTTCACTTTTAGACTTATTGGAGGAATTAAAGAAGATAAGTGTGTATTAACTGGATTACAGCAGTTACTCAGCAAACTGTGGGATTTATCTGTACCCTTAGCATCATTCGGAAACACCAGTTTCTAACTTAACCTGCAGTCCACACCTTTCTCTATAAGCTGGTTTACAGAACTGACTCATTGGGGACCAGATGACACCATGAAAGTGTTGACACCATGTTCAAGTGGACAGCAGGTGAAGCCCACTTTGCATCTATATCAAGTCCTTTGTTACAGCTTAGGGCACAGTGTTGGATGGCAAGCTTCCCTTCCAGATTCTCTATCCTAAACCCCGTGTTCCCAAGTTTGCACTTTGCCTTTCTGAGTACAGCCTCATCCACAAAAAGATATATGTGATCCAGGTTCTCATGAGGTCCCTTGGGTGGACAGCAGGGCTCACACTCAGCGCTGAGAAAATCAGCCAGCATGCTTGTTAAAGTACAGGTTCCCAGGACCCACTTCCGAGGAGCAGGGCTGTGCTAGGGCAGGAAAGTGCAGTCCCAAAGCATCTCTTCCCAGAGGGAGCAGAGCTTTAACAGGGGTACATTGCAGCATTGGTGCATACAGAGAGAGTGCTTAGCAGTTACTCCTGCTGCCTGGCTATCACTACTGTTAGTCTGATCTCACAGATCAGAACTCCTGTCTGTTGTCTGCTTCTGTCCAGGCACCCACTTGCCTGCAGATCCACAATGTTTGGACAATTGTGGTGCCCAGCAGGGTACCATTGGGCTTTCTGTCCCAGCTCCCTCTGGGAAATCTTGGATTTGGGAATTATTTTTGATGACACGCTGTGGACCAGGAAACAGGCAAGGAGGGTTTGCCCATAGAAAAGGATCTGCTCCGGAGGAAGACAGAACCCAAAAAGCACAAGTTTGTAAGCCCAGAACAGCAATTCATTCTTTTCACCACTGATGGATTTAATCAAGCCCCCTGCTCTGCTTTCCCAGAATGACCCTGTGTACTTCTGTAACCTCACTGAGGAGATAGGTTCAGTGAGAAAGGAAAAGAAACAACAACAAAAACCCAAACAAGCAAACAAACACAACTGAAGTCACATGTACATGTCAAAGATTTCTTGTGAGCAGCACCACAGCCTTGGGGAGCCTGGCTTCAGAACAGCACTGTGCTGGCCTGTAGCTCCCCTGAGGTGCCACAGCTGAGCACGCTGGGGGCCTTGACAACATCTGCAAAGAACCTACAAAGAGAGAAGGCACTGGGCTTCTCCCTCCAGGCCCCAGGATTAGCAGTCCCAGCTGGCCATGTCCAGGCCAGCTCTGATTCAATTTAGAGTTTGATTCTGAGTGTGTCTGTTCTAGTCCATGCTGTGCACTCTCCTCTTGGCAGCTTCCTGCTCTCCTCAAATGGCCTGGAGATTTCTTTACTGTCTGCAGTTTGGGTTGCAGAGGCATACACAGAGTGCCCAGCAGCTTTCTGGCTGGATGGAGACTTTGGGAAGTGTTTGGGCATGGAAGAACCCACCTAGACAGGACTTGGACACGGGCCCTGCAGAGAGGACTCCATCCAGACAATTCTAATGGAAATAGCAGCACAGCACTGGGCCCCACAGCAGGGAACCCATCCTCTGACTATAATACAAAGGGAATCTGGGGAGGAGGGGAGAGGAGCTGGGAGCACCATTTCCTCCTCCAACAGCACAGATACAGCAGGGCTTTTCTGGCCTCCCCCAGGGGTCTTCTGCACCTGGAGACCCTTTATATGCACCAGAGCCTCTAGTACTCTGTGCTACATGGGGCTGCCTTTCTCTCTGTTCTGGTTGGGACAATGACAGTGGGTGGCAGTGATGGTGATTTCATGCTTTAATTAGTGCATATAAATGCCTTTCTTTTATGAATAAGAATATGAAAACTGTCTCTTTCTTTGCTAGGAAAAATCTCTTTCAAAACCTGCATTCCAATGGGACGCTGTATAGTAAAATAAGCTGGGAATTGGTACCTTTAGGATCTCCCACTCAACATGGATCCACACGGGCTGCTACAGACATGCTCTGTTATATGTATAGTTTACAAAAATGAGCCTTTGACAAGGAAAGCAAACCCTATTCCCTCCTTTCTGGCTAGATTTGTTGTTTACGCTGGTATCTCTAACCTGGACCAGATGTTTCCCCACAAGTGACACATCAAGTCTCATTTAAAGGTCAAGCCTCCAAAGGCCATCTGCCTTCTGGTAGGTGGATGCCTGCTTTGGTCACCAGTTGTGCTTCTGAAGGCAGTATCACCTCTACAAGGACAAAGCTGAGTGACCAGGAGGTAAGGCCACTTAACAACCCCACCTGGCTCTCTGGGGTTCCCCAGCTTATTGCATACAGACACCCCTCATGGTCAGGCTTCCTTGGCTGTATCCTTCATGATGGTGTGCTTGTGTAAATATCACCTTGTAGTGTGTATAACCAGCCAACAGAGGTCTTACCTCATGGGACAAGTAGAAGGCCGCAATGCCTAAGGGCCAGAAGCAGCAGAGCATGGAGAAGACGCTGAGTCCCAGGTGGTCCCGTGGGGGCATCATGAGGAAGTTGTCCTCACTCTCTGTATCACTGGAGTAGTCACTCTACAGAGACAGTGGGAAGGACAGGAAGGGAGTTTAGTGAAAGAATAATGGAATGCCACCTGGCTGGAGCAGGCCCTTCCTGGCTGCTGTTCTAGCTGCTGTTTCTGATGTTCTTGTTACCATGTTGACCAGCAAGTGTGAACCTCAAACAAGGGCATAGCAGTGGGAAACCTGGCCAACATCAGGAAGACTGAAGGCCTTCCCAGTGCAAACCTCTTAGACAGCTAAACAGTAGGCAAAATGGTATGGAAAACTGTAGGGGAAGCTGTAGCCACGCCTACTTAGGGGCTGGCTACAGATGTGCCTGACCATGCTTGTGAGGGCGTGGTCAGGGTGACGTAGAGTGAGGCTTTCAGGGGACTGTGTTTCTCTTTCGTTTCCACTTTTGTTCTTGCAGTACAGACTGTTGCCACGCTGGCTGGCTAGGTCGCTCTGTAAGTAAAGCTTTTCCCTATTAAATACCCTTATATTTCTACCTGACTCCGTATTGGTAATTTCCCACTATAGAAAACAATTGTGATACGAAAGGTCCTTTGCTCACAATGGTTCAACGTACAGTCTTTTGTTGTTGCTGTTTTGTTTTAATTTATCATTGATTTCTCCAGGTGTTATTCGCCAGGCATTTATTGGGAGGTCGGTGAGGAAAATTATGTCTCAGAGATCTCTGGGATCCTAGTGTGGGGTGATGGGGATAAAGATGGTGGCCTTGGGGACTTCCAGGAGACATGCCCTACCTGTATCTTGCTTTTTGTGCTCAGCACATGGCGGGGCTAGTGTGGACCGAGGGAGGATGCTGTCTCTGGGTACGTTCAAGTTTCCTTCGATGCTGAATCTGAGTCAGGATGTAAGGGGCCCAAGTTCCACCCAGATGTGCAGCCTTCCTCATGGAGACGTGACAGCTGTTCTGGGAGCAGCTGCCTGCAAATGTAGCTCTCTCTTCACGGTGATTCAGTGAGGCATGGGACTCTCCCAGACCTGGTGAGAATTTCCTGGGAATTTGATGTAGGTGGTTTGGTGGGTGGGTTGACAATACCATCGAGATGATTTGGTGGGAGAACTGCCACCTAGCTACCTTGTAGAGCTGTGCATGCTGGCTTACCAGATCTTGGATGGGCACCTCTGGCTGGCTCTGCTCCCTGTGGATTTTATCTCATCAAAGCGCATGTGCCCTTTATGCTGACTCATAAAAAAAAAAAAAAAGCCAAGGTTGCCTTCTCCAACTGTTTATTTTGCACAAGATGAAACCCCAGCTTACTCTAGACACTGTTTCTAAAAACAAAAAAGAAACAGTGTGTCTCCTCTTCAAAGAGCTCATTATCATTCAGATCCTTCCACAGCCTGGAGAAGCTTGAGAATGTACTAGGGAGCTTGGCTGTAGGATGATTCCACTTGACACCTGCCACACGAGGCTATCCCCCCTCCCCCCAGCCTGGAGCCACTCAGACACGGATGCCAAAAATCCTCCAGATGAAAATGGTGTTCATAATCTTACACTAAAACTGCTGGAAGCCCATGCCACCAGGCAAACAGCACAGCATTATACTGAGAGGTTAGGGACTCTGGGTGGGAACTTGGTTTCTGTGTAGTTAATAAAGAAAACAAGCACAGGGTGTTGGGATCACTCACATAACAAACAAGGATTTCTTCGCGTGGCCATGCCATGGGAGCTGATAACCCACTGCCCACACAGGGCTGGCTCTCCACACCACACACAGGTAGGCCTGAGGAACAGGGGTCCCATGCTTTACTCCCCAGAGCAAAAGTCACCTCTGGAGGCCAGAAGGCCAGCTCTCTATCATGTCTCTGTCCTGCTGATCACTGTTGCTCTCTGCTCAGGTATGAGTTTTCTGCCTGGTACAGTGTCCCTTCCATGTGTCTGGGACTGTACAGTGTCCCTTCTGCTGAACTACATCTGTGGAACGTCAATTCATTTCATTCTGACACAATCTCCCATATGGTCTTCAGAACAGTAAAGGAAAATGAAAATTACTGTCATTATGGCTATCTGAGATGGAAATCAAAACAACCGGCAGGGATGCATAATTCATGCAAGATTCGAGGACTGCAGTGCCCAGGCCTTGCATAGCATGGAAACACCCTGTGCTCAGTCTGAATCTTGTCACATAGTACCTCTTCACACACAGCCCTGTCAAATAGATCATCTCTATTTCCACCTGAAACCTAGTGATGTCGAGAGGAGGTCCATGACCACAACTGTGCATGGTGAGCTGTCCTGCTGGAAGGCCATCTCTGCAGGAGGTGCCTGAGAGGCTGGCCTCCGACAAATCCACCAGGGACTAAAGACCACACTCAAAGGCCAAAGGTCATCTTCTTTCTTCAGACCTTCATCTTCTTGACCTGCGGGTCAAAGCTGCCCTGACGTGTGTGGAGATTTTGGCTCATGGACAACCAACACATCTGTGCTTGTTTGTTTAGATTCTTAGATTTTAGTTTTTGGGGTTTTGATTTTTAGTTTACAAAGAGTGGGTTCTGTGCTCTCGAGGTCATTGTGTCTCATAAGGACTCTAGACATAATTTAAGCTTTATTGCCTTTTCTGTTTTATAATGGATAAAGCAGAGGCTGGGAAAGGTTGACACTCTTGCCAATAGCACTGATTAGCCAGTCCCTCACTGTTTATTACAGGCTTTGTGCTGTGTTTGAACTCATAGCCAGCTGCACACAAAACAGTTTCGTTTCACCTATGCCTATGCTCCTTCACTTTGATCACCAGGGCCTCTGGTGATCTTGCTTCCTAACTGGTGTGTGCCAAGATGGTTGTGTAGGTGTGGTGCTGAAATGTTGCCATACAGTGAAGGCTGGAATCTGCTGCTCCATGGCCCCCAAACATGTTAGCATTGCACTGACTGTCTAGATCTACCTGTCTCTCAAGAATTACATCACCGTCCCTATGCTGTGAAGAAATGGGTTTCAGAACAATAACTGCTTTGCTGAATCTTAATTGAGCCACACACTGAAGTTACAGACTTATTCTTGCCTGACACCAAAATAATTAATCAGTTTGATTAAAATGGATTTTCAAAATTCAAGAAAAATTACAGAAAAGATAAGAACATCCTGGCTTGTAATCCTTCCTTTGCTCTTCCATCTGCAGGATCCTCGTGGGTTTAAGCGGTCATGGGCACAGAGCCACCAAATAGGGAGGGGAGGAGATACAGCTGGCCCAAGAGATGTGCAGATTCTTTCAGCCAAGTAGATGAAATATGCACCACCCACACAGAAGAGACGTGGCTTGTAGGGCAGCTGTCTTTTAAATCCCTTTCCTAGGTCACTGTCTGGAACATCTGCGGCAGATGGGAAACACTCACAGAAGTTCAGGATTCATGAGATGTCTCCTTGTGAGCTTCAGGAAGCAAGGCAGAGGCAAGGGGGCTGCTGGCCCTGCAGCCTGGGCCTGCTGATTGGTTTGATCCCTTGAGTGGCATATCTCCCACTGGGCTGATGGGTCTCAAGCCTTTTATTATATTTTTCCATTGTTAAGTAGTCACAAGGCCAGGCTTTGTGCTGATCTTCACCGAGTTCCACCCTCCTTGCAGCCCTGTGAGCAAGTGCTACTGGCTGTTTCCAGGGAACAGAGTTTGATTCAGCTCTGTTACTTGGATTCCCTCCAGGTGTCACCACCAGTGTGGTGACCTGGAGTCATCCTTCTTCCTCCACCGGGTCATCTGGGCAGGAGGGTCACCATATATGGTCCTAGGAGGCACTCTGGATGGTCTTGTAATACTAAGCCAGCAGCTGCTAGCCACATAGACCTGTGCAAACCTGAATCACTTAGAATTAAATACAACCAACAGCTGGTTCCTGGGACTCACTACACATTCCATTACTCAGAACCCATGGTGTTCAGCATCTATCAGTACACTTCTGTCATATACACATAGTACTCATTTCCTCAGTAATTAGTGGGTTCTCCCCAAATGTCACTTCCCATCAGCAACTCCCCAACAGTTGACAGACTGTCTCAATCTTCTCTGGCAGAATCTTGACCTTCCCTGAAATTTTCAGCCATGCTGCTGTCTACTATCTGTCTTGGCAGGCAGAGGTCACAGGTATGCCCTGGCACAAGGAGGATTCAGTGCACCTTTGCTACATGCAAGAGCTCACCTGTGGCCTTAGCCAACAGAAACACCAACTTCAACTGAAAAATGACTCCACCAGATTGGCCCAGAGGCAAGTCTGCGGGATATTTTCTTGATTAATGGTTGATGTGGGAGGTTCCAGTCACTGTGGGTGGTGCCACCTCTGGAAAGGTGGTCCTAGGTTGTATAAAAATTCCAGTTGAGTGAGTCATGGGCAACAAGCTACTGAGCAGCATTCTTCCATGGTCTCTCTTTCAGTTCCTACCTTGAGTGCCTGCCTGGACTTCCCTTCGTGGTAGTCTGGAGTGGATGAAATAACACTTTCCTCTGGCTTTTGGTCCTGGCATTTATCACACCAATAGAAACAACATTAATACAACGTCCATGTTCTCTGCTTTATTCAAAACCAGACCACATTAAAGACACAGCCGGCATCCCCTATAGCCCTATTATGTGGTACCTGCATGGCTCACAGATCTAGGGTCTCACAAACACAGAATACAAGGAAGGCCCATTTCATGATAAGAGTACAATTGTCCTAAACAATACATTAACCATCTTGGGCATATGTTAGGAGCTAGGAGCGTGTGTTTAGTTTCTCCTATTTGGCCCTAGATTCCCCACAGATTGAACGTGTATCATGAGGTGGTAAAATAGAAGCAAAGTAAACCTGTTAACAGGTTCTGGATGTAGCTCAGTTGGTAATGTATTTTCTAGCATGCAACAAACCCCTGGGTTTGACCCTCAGTACTACATAAACTGAGCATGGTCAGTCCTTTTCCTATTTGCATATTGAGCTCCCACACGAATATTTATAAAACAAATAATACTTATTAATAAACTCTGGAAAAGAGTAAGTTAATGAACTACTCAGAAGTAAATCTTTTTTATTTCTCCCGGTA